TCAAATTGGCGAATAGGCAGTGCTCGCTGAAGCCTTACACTCATCTAAAACTGATGTGTGCTGTGTCTCCAAAACACGCTTCCATCTGAATCTCAAAACGCCAAGGGCAAACTCAGCCCTTTGACATTTCTCTCTCCGTATATCCGGTGGTCCAAAAGCGATAACTTGTAGAGCCTATGGCGTGGGAGTTGCACCCAGCCCCAAAGCTGAACGCACTTTGCTGGATTGGATCTCAGTGAATGGTTGTCTTCGTGCCGTCGGGTTATCGAGCTGAATCAAGCTCAATGCCTCTCGAAATTATAAGTGGCGCCTGTTCATAATGTCGGCGTGTGGCCCAGTAGATTGTGGTTCTGATGCTGAGAAGGATGCTTTGTACCGGAAGCTATCCGGGTTCACTCATCGAGCAAGAGGCACTGGTTTTGTGATCCTTGCGGATGATATGAATACCCTAGTCGGTAGTCTGGGCTTCTTGGAATCAAATTTAGGCTATCGATTCGGGGTCGATGCTCGTCGCACATACAACTGAGAGCGACTACAGTTGTGTACTGATCTTGAACTGTTTATGGCCAGTACGAACTTTTAGCACAAACGTTCGCATTGCGTAACCTAGTGGCCATCAACTGCAAATGAACCGTGAACCCAGTCGGATTACGTGGCCATCAACCACTGACAGGTAGCCACAATTAAAGACTGCTGTTCCTTCTAGGGCGCACAATATGATTCCGATCACACCATTGTGCGTGCACACCCGACGGTTCGATCTCCTTCAGACCCTCGCAAGTCAGTAGGAACAATGCCAATCTAATATCTTTAAAGAGCTACCATAGCTCAACAGTATCGATGTGAGCTAGCTCAACAACTGTCTATAGCAAACCAGTACTTTACTTGTGGCAAGCACGTGGGGGAAGCATGGCAAAATGTGGAAGAGCTGTGCCTACGGTGTTCCAAGTTGTCTGTCCTACTTCTCCGATACGATGAAACGACTGCTAGATATCGTCGAGATCGCTAGTTTTGATTGATTACGGGAAATCGACTCCAGCAGGCCACGAGTACGACAGTGCACTCAGATCCCTCAAGTGCCAACTAGTGAAGAGCTCAAGAAAAGACCGAGAGCTTTGGTGCACAAGATCATGGGACTGCGCTTTTGCCCACGTAGGCAGGCGCATCCTATATCAGTCAATATAATCGAATGGTCAAAAGATATGATAAGCGAAAAAGATGGTTGATTGATTAACCCGTAAAGAGGCTTATTGAAAGTAAATGCCGAACACCTTGAAGGACAGTTTAACTCCCCCCCCCTGAAACACAGCCTTAAGAGACACTGCATGTGGCGAATGGAATGCAAACCTTACACACTTGTCAAAAAAAGAAATAAAGTAAGAAGTGTGCCTGTTGGAAATTGAGAAGTTACGAGAACTGGACTGTCTGTATCCAACCTTCTTCATAGAAGGATGAGAACTCTTGATTACTCCTCTAGTAAATTTTATTGGAGTGAAGAGAAAGTGCCTGAGGGATGAGGTACGTCGACAGTTGCTCGTGTCGTCAAAAGGGATTCGCGAAACCTGTGAAAAACCAATTTGGCCTTACCTGGAGAGATCTGTGAAAATCAAACAGGGTTCCGTCCGTGCGTGCAACAGTCACATTTTCCCTATCTGACAGCAGCGATACTGATTCCAGCAACCGACAGTCGTGGCCTTCTCTAACTTGGAAGCAGCATTTGGTTCTGTGGATTGTCAGGCAAGGGTGTCCCACGTAAATTCTTCACCCTCCCTCAGGCACCGTACGTCAACTCCCGCGGACGTGTGAAGGTCTACGGGAAGCTCGTTATTGAGTTCACTACATCAGGTAGTGTCAGGCAAGGCCATCCTTTTTAACTGCTCCTGTTCAACCTCCCAACGTTACATTTTCTTTGCTGATGTAGCGCTGGGTTTTCCACGAGTTCCCCTCACCCCTCCTGAAATCTGAAATGAAAGTGGCAAGTCCACTTCACAGAAATCGTCCTTCTATGTAGTGCCGAGCATGCTTTTGCTAGGTTCACTGATTGGAGCGCGAATTTACTGACCGGAAGGTTCGTTGTTTGAACCCGACATCTGCCTCTAGACTTTCCCTGTCTAGGCTTGGGCAACCTGGAATTATCCCATCCCTCGTGCTTTTTTTCTGGTGGCATGGCAGGCACCGAAAGGGTGCTGCAACTGAACCATTTTTGCTAGGCCAGCACTTGATGTGACAATTAGGCTTTCAGTTTAGGCTTATCTATCCACTTTTGTCATTATTTGGTCGTTGTGTTCCCCATTGCTGTTTAAAACCTATGAGTTAGTGTGCCAGTGGAAAGCTGCTACTTTTGGTTCACGGAGGATCTTACCGGTTTTGAAGCCTCTGTTAGGTTTATCTTCAGTCTTTTGTTCACAGATTCGCTTACCCTGTACTGGTGGTTGCAACAGCGAATGTCAGTATCCGCACTCCCCTCACAAGCGGGTGGTGAAATTATCGTTCCTTCTAGGGCTAAGGTTCTGAAGTTGGAACCGAAACCAGTTTTAGGCATTGCTAACGTGTTGCTGTTGTTCTTCGTTTATTGTATTTGCTTTTGTGGGTCCTTCAGTCTTTTCATGCTGTTTGCTTTGCTACGGTAACTCAGGTTCCTACGTCGATCTCTCTTACCTTCTTTTAGGCGATGCTGAAATCTCAGCTGTCCACTGAAACTCTTGGACGTATTTGGGATATGTCAGACATCGACAATGACGGGAACTTAGACAAGGAAGAGTTCGTTCTGGTGAGTTGGCTTTTTGTGTGGTTTTGACAGGAAATCGCCCCCTTAAAATTATTGACAACTATTTTCCCATGTACCACACGCATGTTGAACTACATTGGTTGCAGTGCCAGTATTAAGAACACAGGCACCTGTATTTAGTGATCACTCATTGTTGCATATCTGAAAGGGTACGATCGGTGATTGTACGACTTGAGAACGAGCGCACAAATCCCAGCTATAGCGCGATCCCAACTTCTCCTAGGGCATACAGATGAAGAGCGGACCCTCGGAGGAGAACCTTTATTACCGCTACCAAAGATAAAGTACAGCGGGCGCGTCGGCGAATATATATATATATATGTATATATTCTACGACCTTGGGAACGGTAAACTCGTTAGCACACACGAAGTGCAACTGACCAATAAAAAAGCGCAGTTCTTTCGGAATAATGTACAACATGTCAGAAAGGGTGTGAAACTTCAAAGCTCAAATTTTCAGAAAGTATCTTTGGCGATAACCCGACGATTAAACGGTGTTTGGGAATGCTGTTATCCACAACACTCATGTGATATTGAAAAGTCCAGGAGACATTTTCTGAGTTTACACTATCCTTAGGAACGCAACGGTGCGTCAGTTTTTTCATGCGGCAGATGAAAAACAGCTGAGAGTCTCACACAGACCCAGCTAATCTGCTAGATGGCTGCACCAGTCAAAATGCACTGGCTAAATCAATAAATGTTTCCTGTTTCACATTTCGAATCACAAGTCAATTCCTTCGGTTTGCTTACTTCCCAGTAACTCGTTGTTTTAGGTCAATGCGTGACCATAGTTTGAGACCTTTGTATGCTGTATTTTATATACAATGAAGTTACCATTGATTTTTATTCAGTGCCTGAGTCCTGGCTTCTAGTGTATACCAGTTCGCGAACAAGCAATCTCCGTTATTTCTGTTGGTGCGGTGTTATGCAAACGGCTCAAGTGCCCAGTTGAACTCTGGTCATGACCTGGAATCGCTTGTGTATTTGTACGGTTCCCGGAAACCACCTGTGAGTGAAACCACTAAGGATCGGAAAGGAGTGACCTTCTTGAATAAAGAAGAATGCCTGGACCGGTGGGCGAATACTTCGAACAACAATTGTGGCCACCAGCTGCCACTCATTTGGAGCCCTTAGTTGATGTAGAACCCTAGAGGGTGAACGTGTAACTACCTACGGCCTCTGAGGTTTACGACTGCATATGTTCTCTCAAGCGCCACCGAGGTTCTGGTCCAAATGACCTCCCACTTGCGTTGTTCAAAGATGGGGGTGAAGTCCTTGGTCAATACCTGTCTGATCTGTTTGCTTGCATTTGGGAAAACGAGTCTGTACCAGGCAACTGGGGAGAGTCAGTGATAGTGCCCATTTTATGAAAGGGGCTCGTATTGAATGTGGCAACCACGGGGGGATCAGCTTGATCCCGGTCGTAACGAGACTGTTAGCGTCACTTGTGCTTTTTTCTCCTTGTAGTGTCTCGTGAAACACTGACTTGAGAGCTGCAAACGACATTCCGGCCTGGAAGCTGTTGCGTTGACCAAATCTTCACACTCCGTCAGATGGTATAACAACGCCATACGTACAAGTGACGCACAATGCTGGTATTCGTGAATTTCCAAGCCGCGTTCGATTTTGTTCACCGGTCCGTTTTTTTCCTGACACGCTAGCCCATCAAGGAATACCCCGAAAGTTTGTGAATCTAATATGACCTTTGTATTCTCAGGCTTATGAGACGTGTGAGAGTTTATGGAGAGCTATCCAAAAGCTTCCGTACACAAAGCGGTGTCCGCGAGGGACTCCCACTGTCTCTATCTTTGTTTAACTTCGTGATCGATGAGATACTGTAACGAACACTTGAAGGTATTCAAAACCCCGGCATTCAAACAGCCTCTGGCAGTTTGTGGGTGCTGTCTGTGCTACTAGCCTACAAGGATGGAGACCTAGTGATTCCCACTGTGCCTGGGTGGAAATGTTTCAAGGATATAGCTGCTACTCGATGTCGATGCACCTGTATCTTATTTCAGTCATTTAAGTATGTTTTCAGTTGCAGTGGGACAGTGATGAAGGTTTTTACTAATCTTGTGGTCAGAAGGCACGGTCACCCCAGTACTAATTCCTCCACAATGTGCAATTTTTACATAAGAAATCGTCGCTGGGATGTATAAAGTCTTTCTTTTTTCGACTTATTCATAACAGCTTGATTAACACTCGTGACCCCCATTGTTGTCACATCAGACGAATCACAATAATTTAACACATTCACCAATGAGCTCATCAGAAAATTCAGCATGAAGCCATACTACTTATTAGCCAAGTAAATGCGGACCCCAAAGTACCGGAGTACCAAAAGTGCCACTCTTCCCCAAGAGGTGGTACGGACGTCAGGCGGTTGTGTCTGCTATCCGTATTGCTTGACGGTCTATACCCTCATTTACCAATCAATTATTGTTTGTGTATCTGCAGGCAATGCATCTCATCGATCGATGTGTTGACGGCGATATGCTTCCGGACAGTTTACCACAACACCTCATTCCGCCCGGGAAGGAACACTTTTTTTCGCAGCGTCGCCTGGCCGTCTCGATCGGAGACCCTTTCTCACCATTTTCAACTGCTCACCAGAATCTTGCCCTCGTTCCGGTTCCGAAATCAAGTTGGCCAGATTTCAACATGGATACTTTCTCCCCACTTGCTCTGGTAAGCTTCTTGATCAGGTTAGTTCAGAATTTCCAATGCCGAGGCATTGTTGACTTTCCGACTAGATTAAATAATGTGCCAACTGCTTTGTGCCACTGACTCATTCGACAAACTGCCTCTTGAGTTCCTGAAAGGCTTAGTCACCCTTATTCGATCAGGCGAAAGTCCATACAGTGATGAAATTCCCCGGCCAACTGCACAACGATGATATCTGTTCGTTTGTTCGCGAGATGTTTGCAATTTCATTATCAAGATCGGCGAAGAGATCGACAACCACCTGATCAACAACCAATAAGCCCACCCAAGTTTCCATTGAAAGGAAGAGCGCCTTTGAGAGCGGAATTGTTTATCAACCAATGCGAACTAAACGGTTACAGGCCCATCAGACATGAAGGGTGGGATGGCCCAAGTGGTTAGAGCGCGAATTTACTAACCGGAAGGTCCTTTGTTCGAACCCAACCTCTGCCTCTCGACTTCCTCTGTCTAGGCTTGGGTAACCTAGCGGTATCCCAGCCTTCGTGCAACCTTCGGGTGGCATGGCAAGCACCTGAAGGGTGCTACAGCTGAACGATTTTTTCGGTTAGACATGCAAGTGAAGGTCACATTTGCACAGAGGTTTCGTAAAGGGAAGATTTTTGAACGTCCTCTTGAACTTTCCTGGACCTTCCTTGAGTAATAGACAATCATGGACAAATACTGCAATGCGTTTCCATAACTTGCGTCCAAACCTTCCATCAGATACAGGGACGGCGCTTTGACACTTGGCCAGATGCTAGTAGCATGGTTCACCAGCAGTACACATAGTAGCATCAGTTCAGGCTTAGGGTTAGCTGAATGGGAATATCGTTATGGGCAGTTTTTCACCTTTTCGCCTTTTATTTGGAAGTAGGTTGGATAAGCTGGGACACACGGCGAGATGGCCGAGCCATTGAAAGATTTCCCTTAACGCGTGAAATCGCGTCCAGCGGTTTGGTTTAGGACGAATGCAACGACATGGCCAGTGTTATCCTCTGTTCCGGCGCATGGATCGTGATAGATTTCGGCCCAACGCCAGGTAATCGAACCTCCAGTGCGCAGGGTATATCCTGGCTTTTGTCGTGGCGCTTATGGTGATAACTTAATTTCGAATGTTCAGGCGTGTTCCGGCATTGCGACATTTTATAAAAAATCGTTTGTTAATATATACGGGCGCTGCTTGAATTCAGTTTGTCTCAACCGATGGGCAGCTGGTGGTATGTCACCCATCGGAGACCTGGTAATAGGAGACACCTAGTAGTTGAGGATGTAGACATGAAGTTAGGCACTCCTTTTCTCTCTTTTATACGAGGGTGCGCGTCTATTCTTTTCACGACCCATTAGCACCTGAAAAGCAATAGAGCATTCACGAGAGGGGTGAGGGAAGTCTCTATTATCGCCGTTAGATTCTTCTGACACTTCCGCGCCGTCCTTCGGAGCTCTTTCATTTTGGCCCACAATCAGAGTTTAGCCAAGCCTCCTAGAAGGGCAACCACTGGACCGTCGGACAAACTGTTGCGCCCGACATCTGTTTCACCCTTCTGCTCCAATAAAAACACCTCTTCCTGAGAAGGAATTCCTCAGGATTTTTTGGGACACCAATGAGGACCTCACTCGTTTTCGAAGGTGTCCACTTCCGACCATACTCTCATACCTGACAAAGAATGCACTATATCTTATGGTAAGTGAAGCAAGAGGTCAAAGTCAATTTCAAGACGGATCGTATTGAAACACGTGTGATGCACTCTAGGAACAGTACCACTATACAAATTGAACGTGCGGTCCAGTCTTCAAAAAGTATTCTGTAATGTGGTCGGCTGTAAAGAAGGCAACACACGGCATAAAGGAAGCTACTCCTAAGATGAAACCTCGTCTTCAAAAAGTATTCTGTAATGTGGTCGACTGTAAAGAAGGCAACAAACGGCATAAAGGAAGCTACTCCTAAGGTTGCTGAAACCTCTTCGACAACCCACGACAGGTTTCACCTTTCTTGGGGCTCATCAGGTAGGCGCAGTCCCCGAGTTTCCGTCAACCTTATGTTCTCAACTGAAACACGAGGCGGTCTTTGTACAACACATTCAGTTGAAGAACATCATAAATCCGAGATTCTGTTCTGAAAACCAAATTTATTTGCAAACCAGTGTATGTGTTAACGTAAGTGTGGCACTTACAGTTCGCGGTGGGTTCTGATAACAATTCATACGGTTGCCCGAGGCATCCGGTTGCGGATTGTTTGCGTAAACGTACTTCAGTTTGACTGTCGCCGAATAGTCAACGCAAAAATCTCGAGACGATTAATGGCACTCAAATGTGTTAGCCATACCGTGCTTAAACATAACTTTTTAACCGCGCATGTAATTATCCATACCGCAAGAATGTACAGGATGCTTCACATCACCTTCAAGCTGTGCTAACTGTCACGATATCATTTTAAAGCCACTTTTTTGGGTGTCATCACTTTATCGACCCTCACCTGATGCATCCCAGTGAGCATAGAAAGCATCCTGTAGCTGTGTTTTCCATTAATCGTTAAACACTAAAGTATTTGAAGCGCTTCGTACGCTTCCGCCGAAAAATATTGTTTTGTAGCTTTCGAAGTGTCACCGGGATTTTACCGTTCTGCATGGCCTGAGACTACTCGCTTCCAGTCCACTTGACGTCTCATCTCTCTTTCTCTCACCTCTTGTGGTCTCCTGGTAGGTGTGAGTGGAACATAGCCGTTATTCAATTTATCAATGACAAAGCACATATGTTCTTTCACTGGCTGTTGGGGGCGAGATGGCTCAGTGTTTACAGCGCGAATCTATTGACAGGAAAGTCCGTGGTTTAAACTTGTCCTCTGAATCTCGACTTCCCCTGTCTAGGCTTGGGCAGCCTGGCAGTATCCTAGCCCTCGTGCTACCTTCTGGGTGGCACTGTAGTACTATTCCACTGATTATCACGATGATTGATCATCACATGTGGACAACTGCTTCTGATATCTCTCGCATCCTATTTCATTTTCCAGGCATTTCCTTCCAATGCATTGGCCACCACGCATTTCAATCCTAACGCCATGCCTGCTTGGTCTCAGTTTGGCTTTAGTCAACCACATAGCTATCCACCGTGGGTGATTTCGGAAGAAGAGCTTGCCAAATCCAATAGGGTATTTGCAACAATCGATTTGGATGCGGATGGCCTAGTTTCTGGTGCTGAAGTACGTGAGGTGCTTATGCGCTCTGGACTACAACAGTCTATATTGGCACAAATATGGAACTTAGTTGACATTCAAGGTTCAGGGCTGCTCAACTGGTGAGTCGTTGGTTGTGGTCGTAGTATCCCACTGTGGCATACTTCAGTAATATAGTTCGCCTTTTTCACTTCCTACGATGTAGATTCCGAGATATGTGAACGTGTTTTCGCATCTGCATTCTCGGTATTGAACGCTGCATCGTTGTCCGTTTCGCTTTTATTTGAGCGTATCTAAAACCAATTTATTCTGACCTATAACTATTGCTTGTTCATGTACATATATTTATGAGTCTAAAATTTTCCTGAAAATTGATGAGAACCATAGCTATATGCTTCTCTCCTTCTGCATATCTGACTGACAAAGCGGCAAAACTCATGGGAACGCATTTTCAGTTCAGGTCAACAATTTTACCGCCTCTTCTTTTCACAGTGAGCAGTTTGCAGTGGCCATGCATTTGGCCACAGAGCAGCTGGCCAGTTCTCCATATTCGCGCACGCTTCCGGTCGTTCTGCCTCCCGCGCTTGTTCCTCCAAGCCTCCGGCCAATCCCACCTGATCCAACCCTATTCGAAGAATCAAACAAATTGATTGCTGAAATCGAAGCTATCAACCGGTAAGTGGCAATTTATACATATGTTATGCACGTATGATTTCCTACTTCTTTATTCGTACAATCCGGGTCTGAACGATCGGCTCGGACCTCCATAACAACCAGGCTGCTACAGCTAGGGTCTGCTTGGATCTACCCTGTTTGGTATTTTTCGTCCTTGGAATCGCTTACGAATTTGATTGAACTCAAGGAGCATACACCCAGTTATTTATGTTGAATACCCGTTTATTCACTTTGTCGTTTTCAGGGAACGCGCAGAGGTTGAAGCAGCGTACACGGCAGTCTCAGTGGATACTCAAAGAAGAGCCACTGAAACTGCCAGTATGCAACGTGAATTAGACAAACTCAACCACACCTCCCGAACTCTTGCAACTCAGCGATCGGAGGCGGAACGTCGTTTGACGGATTACGCCCACGAACGAGATATGCTGAGCAGTAAAGTTGAAGAGCTAAAGGAATATGTGGCACTCGAGCGCAAGAAGGCTGAAGCGGTTCGAAACGAGGTCAATAGTCAACAAGTTTCCGCAAAGGTAACCATCTAGCTACTGAGTAGCGTATGAGTTAACAATCTGTTCAGAGGAAAGACTCCATATACTTCTGAATGACCCTACTCATACAACCCCCTTAAAACAAAATAGAATAATTATCATACCAATTTACCAATACGTTATTTTGCTGGCCCTCTGTCGCGGCAGTTAATCTAGTAACATTCACGCCGAGTTGTCATTGTGTCTGCCTTAGGGTTCTGTATCATCCGTAAAGTAATAGTATTCCTACCTCGTGAGTCTGTCTTGTCTGGATTTGGCTTTTATGTGATTCGTCTGTGCTTGGTGACCAGATCTACGATGTGATTACGGATAGCTACTTGTACATGGCAATGGTTTCATCCTTGGACATCAGTGACAAACACTGCAGTCGGAGCTACCACAAGCCGTGGCCTGTGTAGGTGTCGTTTCTAAGATCATGAGAACTAGTCTGTGGAAAGTGAAGGGATCACAAAAGAATTGATAACAACAGCCTGCTCCCTTGCAAAGATTACGTACGTCACCCCAAGCAGTTGCAGTGAGTAGAGCAGTGAGTAGAGCCTTATCAGGTTCTTAACAAAATCCATATGGTATCACAAATCGACTTGGAACCTCGTATAGTAGTATGACCATATTATGACCATTTTAAAGTATCGGCGTTCTCAGCTAGATGTCAAGATAATTGCAGAAAATTGTAGTAAAACCAGGCTATGAAACATTTACCTCGGCGCCCTCCGCCAAGTATTTCCCGGCAGCCAAAGTACCACTGTAACCTGACTGCACTTGCCCCTGTTTTCGAAGGAATACATGCCTTGTGATCATCTGTCTTCCGCCGGTTCTAAAAAAACGTTCAGCCGTAGCACTCTTAAGGTGCCCAGCTGCCATGCCACCCGAAGGAAGCACGAGGACTGGGATACTGCCAGGTTGCCCAAGCCCAGAGAGGGGAAGTCGAGAGGCAGAGTTCGGGTTCAAACCACGGACCTTCTGGTCAGTAACTTCGCACTCTAACCATTTGGGCCATCTCGGCCTTCGTGTCACCGGTTCTCTCTACTTTCCACACCAGATTTTTGGTTCACAGAATCAGTGCGCGGAGCCGGCTTCCACATGAACAAAACTTCTAATGGTATTCCTTACAGCGTAGCTCAAGAAACTGGTTTGTTCGTTTTTGCAATATGGTAGTTTCAAGCCACTAGGAACTCGCTTGCTTCCGCAAGCTAAGTTTTGACAATATGTTCATGGGCGTCTTCCCTGTGGGTGAAATAGAAGATTTTGGATGTAGTTTTTTTATCGCTAATTTTTGAGCGATCTTTCGATCATCCGCTTTTATGTTAGCTAGCCGATTTTGGTGCCACTTGTTGGTCGATGTTTGCCGCAGAAGCATTCCAAAGGTTTCTTGGAGCATATTGCGTTTCGTGTAACGTTCAGAGTCTTCATATTACCTCATCGTCAATGTTTCATATTGCGGTTTGCTCCTGAGATTTTAAATAATAATAATAATAATAATAATAATAATAATAATAATAATAATAATAATAATAATAATAATAATAATAATAATAATAATAATAATAATAATAATAATAATAATAATAATAATAATAATAATAATAATAATAATAATAATAATAATAATAATAATAATAATAATAATAATAATAATAATAATAATAATAATAATAATAATAATAATAATAATAATAATAATAATAATAATAATAATAATAATAATAATAATAATAATAATAATAATAATAATAATAATAATAATAATAATAATAATAATAATAATAATAATAATAATAATAATAATAATAATAATAATAATAATAATAATAATCGTTCAGCTGTAGCATTCTTCCGCTGCCTAGCTGCCATGCCACCCGCAGGAAGCATGAGGGTTGGGATACTTCCAGGTTGCCCAAGCTTAGACAGGGGAAGTCGAGAGGCAGAGGTCGGGTTCGAACCATGAACCTTCCGGTCAGTAAATTCGTGCTCTAACCACTTCGGCCATCTCGTCCCCTCCTGAGCTTTTGCTAACCTTTATCTAGCAAGTGGTTGTGCAACTTCTGTGGTCTTGGTCGTTGAGAGACATTTGGGCGAATTTCAACTCTCCTGAATTTTTTTTCAATAGCTGTGATACCAAAGCCCATAACACCACTTTTTGAGCATCACATTCGGATTGGTAATTCAACTTTCCTACATCCTCTCTGTTTTGCGGTCAAGGTTATGATTCCCCGTTCTACTCGATAGACGGGTGAAGTTTAGGATTACGCGTGAAATCCACAACACCCAGATATTTTAAAGCAACGTGTATGCAATCATGCTGGTTCCGTGTGTGTTTGTTTAGTTAATCGATCACATGGTAATCTGACGGCACAGCAACAGATGTGCATACCACTGGCTGCGGCCTGTCGGTAATACCAAAGAGTTCAACCAACTTGTTGTTTGCATTTTCTAAACGGTCACTCTATGCTCACCAGTCTCCTACGGAATTTATGTGTTCATTGGTTATTTGACCGCGTCTCTGTTTGCTTGCAGGCATGCTCACTGTTTGACGACGAAGATAGATCCTAATATTTTGCGGCCTTTTTCTGTTGGAAGATGCTCATGCTGGATTGATGAGCAGTGCGATTCTGCACAGTGTGGCGATGTGTAATCTAAGTGGATTTTTTTTCTCCGATGCACAATTTCTCTCCAAACCTGTGCGATTCACATACGGAATGTTCACCACCATGGAGCTGCTCAGAGAAGAGCATGGCTTCGTAGTCTGAGCACGGAATGGGTGAAGTTACGACAAAGCTCGGCTATGAACACAATCTTGGTGTTTTGGATGGCTTCAGGTGAAGTTCGATATCGCGCGTCATTGTCGTCTGAATCCTTGATCAGAGTGGAACGAGTGTCAATTTTTAAGGAGTTTGTCAAGAAAGTGAATGGAAATGATGTCAGAATAGCTCCTTGATTTACATCCTATCACTGAAAAAAGATTCATGTCAATATGGACTTACTAGCCTCGGTCTTTACAGTAGTTTTGTTAGAAGGCCCGAAAGGGTCTCTCGATGTGGGTTCAGGAGAACTTTCGGAAAAGAATTTCACGGTTGATTGGATCGAAGTCACCACAGTCCAGTGAATCCAACCCAGAAGAGCATTCTTACTGAAGTTTAGGTTCATCTACATCGTTTGGTAAAGGCAGGCTACAGCATCGATACCACACCATCCAACCTTGGTTGTTAATTTGTTTGTCATAAAGGCTTCATACTGCCAAGAGACATAATTCCAGACGCATCGTGACGGTGAATAAATCAATTGAGACGGATTTCTGGCAATTCACCGAGTAAACAGGCTTTCATCCTAAGAATCATTACGCCAGTGCTCGATGGAACGGTTTTCCACCAAAGTGTTGAACAAACAACGCAGAAATGTCGAAGATACATGACTTCAACGTAAATTGAAATGCGTTCGGAAACCCAATTTGCTTTATCTCAGCGGATTTCCGTCACCTCAGAATAGACTTTAGCCAGGTGCCTGCCAAGGTTTGCTTCTTCTCCTGGTCCAAGAGGGTTTCGGTCACTTGTCATGTATTCCTGCCTCTATACTACGAGGGCAAGTTCGGGCGAACCCTATTTCGTCTAGATATAAATCCGATATGGAACATTGTTAAGACACTATTTTACCACTTGCTTCATGGGCATTTCGTTTTCTCGGACTTTTTTAGTTCAGCTTACATGAGATAGGCTACGGTCCCATGCAAAATCCTAGATGGAATTCCAGGTAACGGGAAAGTGCGTTGCATTGTGTGGACGGCTTTTCACCTTCACAGTCAGTGATTTCAACAAAGTGCCAATGGATTGCACTGTTACAGTAGGTCTGTGTATTTGGCCTTCGTGAGATTGGCTGGCTGTTTGGTTCTTCTCCTTGGAGAAGACTTATAGCGAAATTCGGTTCTTCTGTGGATGTACAAAGCCGGTATATTTGTAAAAGCATGGTGTAGACTGACTTGGCCTTCTGTCATTCCAAATGTCCCCAGAAAGATACAACCATGGATTAATCCATCCTAAACTAAGAGGGCACTAGGTCTTTAGGTTAGGCAGTGAACTCGTCGGAAAATCTTTCGGGCACATTTCGGAAACGTTCAGGCGTGAGGTAGGAATTAATTATGTAGACGGATTTAATGCTACTGAGGAGTCTGGGACTTCATGTGGTGGTCGGTCAGTTTGTGCTCCAGTAACCTCATTACTTTCTCAGTTGCGAGCACCAACAGCGTTTATAGTATGTTAGAGCGCCACCGCCGCTTTTCGCATCAGCTACCCCATTTAGGCCTATAATAACTGGTTCAAGTCAACCATTAAGTTTGGAATATTGGAGTGTAGCCAAGATTCTTGAACTAACGTCATTGGGGATTTTCCGCACGATTACTCTGTGAGAAGATAGTCAAAGTTTTCCAGAATAGATCATCTGCCGTACGATATGACGCTTGGAAGGAGTGTCCTCTTCATTTTCATTTTCAAGGCGCTAGCTGTGATTCAGTACGGTGCTTTTGAGTTTTTGCTCATGCTTAGCAAGTGTATTGTGACCTGGCAGCAATATCCCTTCAATCAGCAATATTTCAATTTATTGTGACCCTGCACCATGCGAACTAAACACCAGATCCCGCGCTATCACTGACGTGGTCCGAGCACATAGGTTTTCAAAACTTATGGGAGAAAGTAAATTGAGGTACCCCCGAGTTAAATGATCGAAATGATGTTGAGCAAGTTGCCAGGTAACTAAAGTGCTGCCACAGCGTTTTGAGTACGATTCATGTGATGATTACCGCTCTCATGGCCATTGGCCTTTGTTACATTAAGTGATCAGAGTGTAGACTTGCAGTTCTATCGAGCCTTGCAAATTACTCCATCCTCCCTTGGTTGTTGCGACGTGTTTCAACAGGGTGGTTCCAGCTGCCAGGCTGTGGGAGTCTTCCGGCAGCCTTTCCCGATTTCACCTGCTTGTTGAATCGATACGGTAGAGACGAGAAGTAATTGTCTGATAGGGAAAGTACATGCCTCTAGCAGAGGATAACTCATGTTTAAGCTAACTGGTGGTGAGATTCATTGAGCACTGAACTTCAAGCATTGAGTCCCTATTCGAGTCGTGTTTTTATCTCTTTGTATCAACAGGATAACCTGGCGCAGAACTTCTGAGCGATCCCAATATATGTGCATCCCAATAACAATACTTGTGTTTTTGTGCCACAGAATCAAGAAGAAGCTATCACGAGATTGCGAACCGAATTAAACGATCTAATCAGGCGAGAGTCGTCATTGCAGGATCAAGTTGCTGAGAGCCGCAGGCGCCTTGAGTTGATTGAAGCTGAGAAACTTGCCACCCAGTCACGCATCGAGAAGGTAAATGTTTCAAGTTTGAACGTTTTAGTTGGACTGCTCTGTTTTCCTCTTTTTTTTGTTCGTATGGGTATCTTGTTAGTGGTTGGGGCCCTTCCGAATTCATTCAACCTGGGTTTTCACCGTCACTTGCCTAATGTAGACACCACTATTAAGCACTCTAGACATCGACGACAGTGTAGATGTTAAGCAGAGACTGACTGCCTGCCGAAGCAGACAGTTGCTGTCATTTTTTAAATTTGTATGCGTATCTCACAGCTTAACACAAACGTTACGGGATATGGACGTTTCTCGGAGCTTGTTTAAATGGTAAACGGTAATTTGGCACAAAAATGGAAACCCAATCACTCATTCGTGTAGCTCGAAAGAACCCTGCAGTTTTTCTGCCAAGAATTGACACGCCAGGTGTTTACCTGTCACTTCGCATATCACTCTTCTGATCCTCATTAGGGTCGGTACTCGGCTACAAGTGGTAAAATTCCGAGGTTTTGAAGAGGACGCGAGTGCGGAGTTGTGCATGCATTGTAGCCGTGCAAGTTTAGCAAGCAACTCGCTACTCCTATTACTGATTTTTCTCGCACTATTCTGCTCTTTTTGACAAGGAGCTGGAAACTCGTACTCCAACGTTAGCCTTATTTGTGAAACGAAAAAGCAGTTTTACTGTCAAGTCCAAATTAGAAACGGATGAAGACAAAGTACCTTAAGACTCCTGGAGAAATGCTCTTACTCGCAAATTGCATTGTTGTAATCGGGAGACTCACCTGAATCTCTCGTGTGTGGTGTCCTTCAATTAAGTGTTCTCCACGAAGGACCCCTCAGGTGGTACGATATTGGAGATGTCTCAGTATGTCTCATTTGCAGTGTATTTCGCCGTCTGTGCACACTTTGATGTTCAAGTAGGACGTAGGTATGCTGGAAACTGTGGGAACACGTCTACTTGACGAAATCCAAGAAGGACGAAGCTGGTAATGGACTTTCTAAGAGCTTTCAACAACACTGTGAGCAGTATACTCTGTCGAGTACCTTAAAATTCATTTGCGTCTTCCATCTGTCTAACTTCCATCCTCGAGGGGCCAACAACCCTTACATTCTTTATGGTGAATGCTGTGCATGTCACATACGGTAGTCGGCTAAGTCCGAGTAGTTTGCACAAGTTTCGTTGAGAGAATCGATGGCCTGGTTTCTGCCGAAGTGTACCTTGGACGCTTAACCTAACACTTCGAAAATAGAATTGGCGGTTTTGTCTCAAAGCTCTCTTTCCACCCCATCTTGGTTCACCAGGTTTCACCACCAGTTGTTCATACAACTCTACTTTTCCAGACATGCCTCAAAAAACAAGTATCAGAAGGATATTATCATGCAGATGCTGCCGATGTAGAAGACTTGCAGTCAAAATCTTTTAGTTCCTACTAATAGTTGTACTCGACATGTTGGAGTTCGCTCTCGGTCTTCAAACTGTGATCGGTTCAAGACTCGTGTATGTTCGTAGCGCTTTCAACTCCGCTTTCCGCGAAATTATCCGAAATGTCACTCCTGGAATGATCGGTTTTCAGTTTATCTCGTCGTCTTAACCGTCAGAAGGGCGTCCAGTCCTCACTCAACACTAGTTTTACGTCTAACAACAATAGGGTCAAGTGGAAGTGCCTATCGGAGTTCATCACGGGAACTTATATGGGTTCGATCGAGTAATCGTCTGACAGATGTTTGCATTTCATTAACCGTACGACCACATGCCCACTGGTCTTACCTGTGCGTCTGATCCATTTGCTTTGGGATCGCTTTGTTCGAATCAAATTTCTTACTAATCCAGGCAATCCAATTACTTGTTAGTGGTCGAATTATTCTTTTTCAGTAATCATTGGTCTGCATGGACGCTATTCCAACAGAAATGTAGGTGATTCTTAAAAATGTCGGCCACACAATGCTTTTTGGCTTTACTGAGACTCGTCAGCTTTGTATAATGGAATGGGGGGCGAGATGGCCCAAGTGATTAGAGCGTGAATTTACTGACCGGAAGGTTCGTGGTTCGAATCCGACCTCCGCCACTCGACTTCCCCTTTCTAGGCTTGGGCAACCTGGCAGTATCCCAGCCCTCGTGCTTCCTTCGAGTGGCATGGCAGCTAGGCACCGGAAGGGTGCTACAGCTGAACGCTTTCTTTCTTTCTTTCTAATGGAATGGATAGTGTGGGTGGTGTTGTCCTCTTCAGACCTTATTTTACTTTTCTTCCTTCTAGATGGAACAACCTTAAAATTGTCAAAATTGTCTGCTAAACTCGCCTTTTCCGTTTTCCTTACATTGTCGCAGTCAACGTGGCCCAAGTGTCTTTATTTTGAGCTCAGGACAGCTCATTAGTTGAGAGCAACGTACGAACAGGAGGGTCCGTAGCTCGAACCTAATCTCGACTGCTCCTCTCTAGGCTCGGATAACCTGTCGGTATCTCAGCTCTCTCGCCTTTGGTTGGCATGGCAGCTAGGCACAGAAAGACGGTTGAGACTGAACGTTGATTCTGTGTAACTAAATATGTTTGTTGAGATCCAGTTTTTGACTGGGTCATGCCGCTGTATAACCGTCCCCTCTCAGAATTTGCATGTAGCGTGCGCAGCCAAACCTTGGCATCCTGATGATCATTTTACTGTGTAATGAGACAATTTTTTTGACCTTTGGTTACTCACGTGTTACTTTGTTTTTTTTCGACCTGCATTGACGTTCGTCTTGTTATTTGCGATGGTCTTACTTTTGAGAAAGTGAGGACTAGAGCTGGTTCCGGTGGCAAGTGGTAGCAGTTTTTTCCAAAAACTGCTTGAGCAATCCATCTGTCGCCATTTTCAACCCAGTATCCAGCTGTTTCACCCCATGATGCACGAAAACTTCAGTATTACTCTGTCATTTTCAAAAACCTCATTTCTCCGGTAATCCCAATGCAGCAGCGCGATTTACCAAATTTCATTTCGTCAAGGTGTCTCATGCACCCGCGTCGTACAAAATTAGGCATCGTCAAGGTCACTTCCCTTGCGATTTCGGCTTGATGTCAATTTCCTGCTACTACTCGTTTCGTAGGCGCACATGTAATGACCAACTCTGGTGGCTGGTCGTTCAGTCGTTTAAGGCCCCATTTCAAAGTGCACTGCCGTGACCCGGTGACCAATTTACCTTTCACTGAGGGAATGTGCACACCGTACACAACTGAGGCATCCACCTGATAATTAAACCCCCTCCCCCACGCTAGACGTAGTATTTTCTCTTCGTCAACAAACCACAAGAACCCACTCAACTGAGACAGCATCTAACCAGTAGTCTGAGATTTAAAAAGCCTCGTTTGGGTGCACGCGTTAGGTGCATGAGGGACGCATATTCCGCCAGCTGAAGCTAAGTTCACTCTATCTAATGATATCCTCTCGACTAAGCACCCTCGCGATTGTGCATATCACACGGAAAACGAAATCCAATAACTCTTCCTCCATTAACATTTAACCACCCGATTTAGCTGTCATAGTGGAAAATTATTGCACTCTGCCACGATTTCTACTCGTCTAAATGAAGTGACCTTCCCTGTCTATGTACTGCCCACTGAAGCTGTACCCACGGATGAAACAGTCAGTGAACTTGTCCTATTTGCCTAGGCCCGTGTGCACGGTCCAGCCAACTATACCCGACCACCATTATCACGGTCCAGCTTTTTCTGATCTCAGTTCCTGCAGTGATGGTAACTTCCTGTTCATTTGCTATCGAAGATGAAGCTGTTTTGGATATTAGTAAAATCTATTGTCTTTTGCGGGGGAAATGTTCCTTGTAAGACCTCTTGTTGCGGTCTCGTGTCGTCTTAAGTCACGCCGCTATAGGATTTTCCGCACCACGAAAATCAAATTCTCCAGGGCGTACTGCTACTTGGGTGGTTACTTACAACAGTAGATTGTTGTAGATTCATTTCGGCCTGTTCTGTGTTAGAGACACAACAATCTATTCACTTATGCACTTGTCAAAAAAACGGTATGAGGGGACAGTTTTGATGACCTACAACCTTGCCGGTGGACCATTTGATCATGTATTGTAAACCAGTGACCGAAATGTTACAAAAGCAATGTTGCGGAGTGTACCAATCGAGATGATATCGTCAGTGTTGGTATTAACGGTGTCACATTGATTCTTGATGAAGCATTTACAGTCCAACTGCCAAGCTGAGCGAACAGTTAAAAAAACATGCTTTAAAAGTATCTCCTTCCCAAGCATGACTCTCCCGGTACACATAAGTCTGCGATCAAGCATAGTCAGTTCCTTTTAACTTACTGGTTACCCCCCTTTGTATTCGTTCTCACTTAGGCAACCTCAAAAGTAAACTTGCTGGAATCTACCCGAGGTCAACTGCTCCAAGTTTTGGATCAATACACTAGCTTACTAAATGGTGATACTTCAGTAATGGAGCCGGATGAGCAAAAAGTGAAGGCGTTGGTGAGTTGTGCTACCCTGTTATCTTTTCCCAATTGGATGAGTTGTGAACTGAATTTGCACTTTCGACTTTCATGAGTATACTTCATACCTCATACACTAAGAGTTCCTTTTCGCCATGCTGCAATAAATCTCGAGGACAACAACTGCTGTGTTGTGTCCTCCTTTTGTGTTTGCTGTATGCCAGCTCTCTTTAAAACAAAGTACTGGGTTCCTTTGCTTGGTATTTTGTTATTGTTGTTCGGTATGCCATCACCAGTTCGGCATGAATTGGTTTGTCGCAGCTGTAACCGTGCATCAAACCGTCAACCGCACATGTATTTTTCCGTTTCCTCATCAGCTCAACGGTATTGGTTTGGATCGTACTTCTGCTCCAATCGCCACCCGCGACGAAGATATTTGGCCTATAGATGGTAGTGTATATCAACGTGTCATGGGTGCCTCATCCGTCCCGCTTTCGCTGATGGTTAACAGCGCCCTAGGACAGCAGACGCATAAATCAGGAGGACGCGAACAATCAATATCTTCCCTTGCTATCCCACTCAACACGGATCCTTTCCTAGGTACTGATCCGTTCAATCCACCCGGAAACAGCAAACCACACTTAGCGGGCAAAGGTTAGTCAGCTGCTTTTATATTTGGAATGACGCATTACTTTCGCTTTTGGGGCTACACCAAAAACAATGGCACATACGGTCCGTGGCACGCGAAGTTCAAGTAAATATCAGCTTTGTTTGCCTTCTTGATGCTTGACCACTCACGGGCGAACTGTTTACCGTGAATTACGCTATTAAACCAGACCGATGTCGATTTGCTTTATATGATGGGATTCTAAACGGACTGTTTTTTTTAAGTTGAGTAAAGCGTCCTCATTTCATTTTGGGGTTGTATGGCCCTAAATGTGCTTGGCCTCACGGGAGGCACATGAAGAAATACATGCTGAAGTCATTCTAGAACAAGCCTTTTATCCTGATACGGTCCCGATCATATCGTCATCTGATGTTCCCTTAAACAGACTAAATCAACTGGAGCCGCCAGTTGGCACCAATCACCTACCATACCATGCGCTATTTCTGCATTTTTTTCTTCGGTCTTTGCTTCTCCCACATGTGTCACTGTGAGGCTCAGGAACCCGTTGGAACCTACCAACGCTATCTTATGAAACTCTGATGATTGGTGTTATGATGACTAGTGCACCAGAGGTCATGGTCTGTCTGAACCATTCAACTTGAAAAGTTAATTTCAGAGAGCTGTGTGGATTTGTGGAAGCTTCGCAGTCAGGTATCATGGGGTTCTTGGCATAGTTTGATAAAAATCCGCCTTCGCAATCTTTTCCTCTGGCTGATACGGAAGTAACTCTGACTATACTAGTCATCGAACGAAGGGCACTGTTGTAGTATACTTTTATCCGCACCGGCTCAATTAGTTTATCACCCATTTGTTTACTGATATGTACATTCCAGCAGAATTCAGCGTGGGGGTCTAGCCAGGTGCCGTACATACCGAACCATGGTTTACCGCTAAGAACGTCTCCTGGGTCAAAGTTCTATGATGAAAACCGGTGCCCTTTTGAAGCTGACGAATAGATTCTACACGTCAATCGACTTACCACAGTTTATCCGTGTTAATCGGCTCCTGTGGTAGTCCCAGGCGATCAAATTCAGCCTTTGGTACATGCGTATGAAGAACTGCCTTTGTCAGGTCAACAGTGGTCCCCTCACTTTTCACTCCTGCACATCCCCGTAAATTCTGGTGACTTCTACAAATATGAGTAGGCGTCCACATCATATAATGCACAAGTGATTGTACAAGAATCGCCTAATTATGTTTTCTGTTTTTGGGATAATCATGTGGGTCAATCATTTGGATAATATAAGTTTATAATCCGGCACAGGTTGGCATAATTTCAGAAAAGTTTTATAAACGATCAGCAGATTGGTGCAACGTTTCTGCGTACCGTGCGTTGGCGTTCAATATTTCTATCGCGCACAAGGCTTTGCAGGACCAAGTCAACAATTTAGATCTCAGAATGCCCCTCGTTTGTTTTCTAAATAAGCAGATCGGACAAAAATGTTCCAGTGCATCTCAATTGCGTATTGATGTTTAATAAGCTCCCTTTCCACCCTGTCGATCGTAGTAAAGAATCCCCGTGTTTGTCAGACTCTTTGTGTACATGTCCCTTAGCGACAAGGTGTAATCGCTTTGTTATGCTATACCAGTATATCCAACTTTATACTGCCTGACAAATCGTCGTATCATTTGTAATGTTCATCATTTCCGGAGCCTTATCCAAACACGACATTGTGATATTTGAAGTCATTTATCACCACCATCCCAAAATCGAAGCTTTCTGATAGTGTTTCGATTATGGCAGCCTTACTACTAGTGCCATCGCCGAGTATGTCTCATGTTTGGTAACCTAGAAGTCGATACTTTTTCTGAGTCAATCTCGTCTGTTTTTACTTTCGTCTCCTCTTCATTGCAGAAACGAAAGATGACTTTTTCGGTCCTGGTAGTCTGTTCACACCGGATCCATTCAAAGACCTCGATCCCTTTGGGGGTGATCCGTTTTCTCTACCGGTAACACTTTCTTCTTCAGCCATACATTGTTGTCACCCACGTTATTTGTCGCCCGTCTCGACTGCACCACTTTGGATGACCTATTACTGCGTCTTGAGCTTAAATTCAGTTGCCTGCCGATTTAATCGGCTTGTAGATCAATGTCGTATATATTCGAACCTCTGTACCTCCCAATCTCATGTTGTTCTGTTACACATCCTTTTGTTTGCATGATATTATAATTTAGGCTGACGGTGGAATAGTGGTAACACGGTGGCTCCAAATGTAGGATCACCAGAGTTCAAGTTTGGGCGCGGCCGAGGATATGAACTGATGGTTTGTGTCAACGAACACAAAATTCGAGTCGAGTGTGCCACAATAGTTGAACTGTTCAGGCAATTCCACAGATCCCACAACGATCCGTAGATAATAGCCTTATCTACAATCGGTATACACTCGTCGCTTCGTAAGCGAACACGGATAAGGTTTCGCTCAGACTTACAACAGGCTTCCGACCAGGGATATTCACTCTTCGTCACGTTAGCTTGGTGTAGGATCATTGCGATCTTCCTGCACAAAATATCGATAGTCTTGTCACTAGAATGCTGGTTGTTTTCACAACCTATTGTTGTGCACATCTCACTAATTCCATTGTGGAGGAGTGGTTAGTTATCTGTGCTTTTGTTCAATCTCCGTTTTAGAGTGAAAAGAATCACCATAAACAACCGGATGTTGGTAAGTTACCGAGTGATTCCTAGTTCATTAAACACATTCTGGTTGAATTACCCCTCTGTTTGCCGATTGCCAAATGAAGAAATAACTTCAGACATTTGTTACATAATGCAGATCGCTTTAAATCAGCAGTCGTCAACGCCTGGTATTATGCACTTTCGTGATCTTGTTGCCTTTCGAAGTTACAGAAACCTACCCAATTTCATTGATGTTCAGCTACCAAACGGCTAGGTTTTAGGGAATAAGGCTGCCAATTCAAGGTCTTCAGTGGTGATGCGGTCACCCACTCAATATGAACATCCTACCGCCGACCGGGGATCTTCATGATGTACCTACTTGGATCAGCAGTATGATACTGTTGACCCCATTTCTCAGTAGTTTGGCCATTGGTGTTTTCGTGTGCCCTTGGTTAATGATTCAAATTGATTAAAACTAGAGACACGGGTACATTTCAAATTGAAAACCCAATTGCAACTAATGTAAACTAAAAGATGAGCGTCAAGGATATGGATCAAAGCCACAATCGCTCTCAGCTGATGAGTGTTCTGCCAGCTGGGTGGATTTTCCATCCCCTTTGAATGTCACTTCGTTGTCTTCATCGCACTCTAAAGCAACGCATTTGTACGCTCCAATTTTTATCGCTTTGTTTCATATCCACTTATTCCGTTTCAAATCTCGGTTTATTAAATCCTGGTGACTTTACACCCTAGGACTCTATAACTCGATCTTTGATGCTATCCATTGTTTATAAATGCCTGACTTGTGTTCATCCATGTAATTGTCGTTTTCGATTGTTTACTGACTCCATCTAAATCTAGTGCAATGCCTCATTTGATGACTGGCTGAACTATCAAAACATATTCACACAACATGAAGCGCTTGTTCAGTAGATTCCGTTACTAAATTCAGGTGTGCTTACGACTGAGCATCCCAACGCAAACTGTTTATCAGGTCAATTTTTGGATGGCTACAAGTCACATTATCCTTCTCGCATTCGCCCGTAGTCTGTCTTTGATGTTGTGGTGTTCTGCTTTTTTAGTCTAAAGACAATCTAAATAAGTTTGAATATAGGTGGGTCTATTAGTACGCTCCAAACTTTGAAGAAAATCTGTTCCAAGCTGAACGGTCTCGGTTCTTGTTCATAGACACGTTCGTGTGAATTTCTTAAGTGTGTTTCAAAGCGGCGGCCTTCGTGGACGCTTAAATTTCACCCTACTGAAGAGAAACTTATTCCGTATTTTTCTGGACTCACCACATGTTCGTCAATTTCGATTTGCCACTTGTTACTGTGTCTCCATATTTCAGTTTCAGCTTTTGACCCCTTTACTAATTGCGTCAATGGACCCAACGCCCCTCATGCATCCTTTACAGGTGTTGACTTCGATGCAGTGAGTCAATATTTACTATATAACGTCCAGTTGATTAATGAGACTTGACTGTTTTCCAAGCTCTCTCATGAGTTCAGTTTTTTAGCTATAACCCATGTACCAAGGGTACATTTTGAATGGTTTGCATTTTTGAGGACCTGTATCTAGGGAAGCACTATTGTCCGCATACTCAATGTCAGCGAACCTCATGAGTTCAGTTTTTTAGCTATAACCCATGTACCAAGGGTACATTTTGAATGGTTTGCATTTTTGAGGACCTGTATCTAGGGAAGCACTATCGTCCGCATACTCAATGTATGTCAGCGAACCTTTCGGGGCATTTCGGAGAGAGGCAGGGAAATTTCAAGTAGCACATGAATCACAAGGTTGAAGAGGAAAGGCGAGACGGGGCAGCCTTGTCTTACACCACGACGTGATGGACATTAGCGAAAGTTTGTCGTATACTCGTACCCATCCACGTAAATTCGCACACAGTGCCATCATAAGGGACATAAATTTACGAGTACCACCCTAGATGGTCAGACCTCGACAGAATGAAAAGCAGTTTCCATATCAAGCGAAACAATCAACGATGTTTTAAAGTGGCGCTGTTTAAGAACTTGTCTCCAGGTAAAGATATAGTGAATGCATACTCGACCAGAGCGAAACCCAACTTGATTTTCAGGAATTCGTCTCTTCCGACAATCGATCAATCTGCACAAAATACTGCAACGAGCATCTTAGATGAGACGGATACCAGGCTGATGCCACGATGGTATTTGCTTGACCTTCTTGCGCCCTTTTTGAAAACTAGGATAACGGTCGAGGAGCTCCATTCAACTGGTATTTCGTTTTCGTCCCAAATCGTCTGCAGTGTGGTTGTCAGACTATTCATTAGGAACTCCCTAGCTTCTTTGAAGAGTGTGGGATGCAGACTTTCCGAGCCAGGTACGTTGTTGAGTTGGAGGATTGCTATCTCATGCTTGATCTCTGTTGTTGATGGTAGGCTGGTGTCGATACCCCATTCAGTTCCACTGGGTTCTTCAGGCTGTTTTGTTGAAGGAGACCAACTGAACTATCCTTTAAGGCACTCATACCATCGCTCAAGACGATTTTCTGTGGGCATTGCCTTTTTCGCATATCGTTTGGCTGACACTTGTCTTTTTTAACCGGTTGATCGAATCAGCTGAAGTAGGGTGTTATCTAATTTGACATAGTGTACGGACATTAAAGGGCGAAACATGGATTAGAGTTCTTGAGGATGGTAAGTGATTGTCTTTGTTTTTCTGGATGACATTTAAGACAATGACTCACGGACCGCCGTGTAGTTGCCTCTTCCCCATTAGTTTGGTGTGTTAACCTTGAGCGGCTATCCTGATTTTTACTGCTAAAATTGCTTCTGGCACATGGCGAGCGTTTTTGGTAACCTAACTTGTTTATCGGTTATAAGAGCTAGTCAACGGACACGGCACAGTCTGGTGTGTGCCTGTCGATACGCGATTCATCAAATGCTAGCCTTAAAGAGCTGACCTTCAGGACCCACAAGACAGACAAAATCCCGAAACTATAGCGCAAATCGATATAAACAAATTGTTCTTCCAATATGAATTCCTGAACATATGGTCAAAAAAGGCTGGGAACGCAGGGCAACAGAGTTTCGGACATTCTTAGGGTTGTATCAAGGGTTCGTTCAAAGGGATTATTGCTTTAGAGAGAACTATGGTAGTCCTTTATCCTACTCTAAACTTGTCTGTTATGTTTTTTTTCATTTCAGAAGGGCTAAGTGAACTATCGTTAGTCAAGAGCATCATGGTTCTGCGTCCCGATTTACTCGGTTGCACGCTGGGAATCACACGTTGATGCTTTAATAACCGTCTGTTTTAAGTGTCCTGAAATACGTACTTCCTGTGTTACGGTCGGTGTAAATTCCCATGGTTTTTCGAAAAGTTGAAATCCTCACGTTACACAATCACTCAGATGCACTGGCAGGGAACTTATGTCGCACGGCTGAAACAGGTAAAACACCATTGCAACTTAAAGGCTGCCAAATTTGAGGTATCAACGGCGCTTGTTGCATAATCAGCCAGTCACTGCTTTTGGCTATCGAACCGACTTATCGATGCACGAGGAACTTTGGAATCACCTACCGGCCTTAGCTTTAGCGATATTGCCAGGCTGCACGCTCAGCTTTGTAGAACAACAGTGACTTCTGTTTATTTCCTAGGGCGTTTACGCTTCTGGTCGAAAAAAGTTATTCAACCGCCAGATGGATGACGCGTAGGCCAATGGTGTGGTTTCCCTCGTGCTACTTGAACCGAAAACCACCGCATATCTAACTAACTACACAACCAGTTCAAATTGAATACGCCCATATGTGTTGTTGCATTTCCATAACCTAACGAATTACTGTAAGCGCAGAAAGTCACGTAATGGTTAATTATGGAACAGCTCGAATCAGGTCGCTCAAAACCCTCGTCATTGTCAAATCCGGATTGTTTGTAAAAATAATATCCACTGTGAGTTACATACTTCGCATTACTAATGAGAACAAAATGGTTTGTGACTGAGCCTGAATGACGTGCTTTCATTCGTCGGACTTCAGTTTGTCCGGAGGGTACCTTTTGTATTCCTTGCAGAATTACCTGCTTCGTGAAGACTACAGGTCATGGAAGATTGTCCACCCTAAAGAAACACTTGCGAGTTGATGACAAAAAGTGTTAAATATAAGCATCTCGGATCCATGTGCTCGCGCTCGAGAGTATTTCGAAGTTAAGTTGAATGGTTTGTGGCTCACAAGCCTCTATGCAGGTTCCATATACTCAATCCGTTCCAATCACCAATGTACTGCAGTACCAACACAGTAGTGTTTTTAGGAAACGAGTCGCCCTACCTGTTCCAACCCCAAACCGAGGGTTGCAGTGCGCCTGCCAAATCCTCTTCAAATTCATTTATCTGGTGGCCAGCGGTCACCGGACATCATATTTGTTTTATTAACCATGGGGTAGAGACCTTGAAACAGAAAAGTCTGTTGAACAATGCCCCTTCGGAAAGTTCCGGTCCAAAGATATGATGCAACCTCCATCCAGTTTGTAACTGCCGATTTTGTAAAGTGGGGCGCTTTCTTCAGATTTGATGCGATCGGCATGGATAAGGAAGTATGAGATTTCCCTCTGAACCTGTACCGTGAAGATGCATTCCCACTACTTTGGCGTAGATATTCACATCTATCTCCGTACATCCGCTTGGTCACCCTCTACGCATGCATGTATCTTTCATTCCACACACCCGGGAACTGCTTTCCAAAAGTACACTCTTCAGTCTTAAAGTCTGATCTTGCACACCTAGCGTTTCTCAGTGCCTTAATTCGTCTTCTTATGCTCCTATGTTATATATCTACTGCTCATCTACACAAAAATGCATAGTGTGCCCAGTTTTTATCTCAATCTCTTCACTCTCGCTGGTTCTTAGGCGCAGTGTGGTCTCAAACCGGTCCTACTTGATGATATCCCAACTCAGCTATTGGAAGCAGACTGTCACTAGATTCGACTGAGCAAAAGTGTCGCGCACATTATAACCGTTAGAGTTAAGACCGATGTCCTGGTAGTTGTCGCACAATGACCTGTCATTTTTCCTTGGGATTGTTAACACAACTGAAGTAACCCAGTCGAGTAGGGCTGTTTCTGTTTTTCATACAGAGCAAAAGAGTTTGTGTATCGTCCCGAGTTGTACAAGTCTACACATACGGTCGCATTTCAGCTGGGACGCCACCACCGGTGGAAGTGACCAATATCCTGGGGATGGTATCGCATGTAGCCTTTGAAACGCAGCTGGCAGTGACTTGCAACTTCTCGTACAGCCGATTTCTGATGCTTGGATCGGCAACTGATGTTGATGGAAGGTGTCCTGTGATACTGGTATTGAAAGGAGAAAGAAAGGAAGAAACCTTCTGCTGTAGCACCATTCAGATACCTAACTGCCATGCCACCCGAAAGAAGCACGAAAGCTGTGAGGCATCCAGGCTGCCCAAGTATAGACAGAGGAAATCAAGAGCCAGAGGTCGGGTTCGAACAGCGGACCTTCTGGTCAGTGAATTCGCGCTCTAACCATTTGAGCCATCTCGTCCCAAGCATTGTTGGCGTTTCGGTTCAGGAGAAATGAGACCACACCGTAACCGGAACTGTCGCTAGGGCTACTAGAAGAATCAGCTGGCGGAGCCCGTGCCAAGGATATTAATATGTTTAGACTCATTGCCGAATGTGGTCACCTAGGGTGGTATGCAATGTCGATGTGGCATTCGTGTAGAGCCTACCATGAAGAGGCAACATCAAGAAAGCCTGTAACATTCATGCAGCCAATGCTGAGTTATTTTCTCATGTGTAAGAGTTTTTTTGTTCGTTGGATATCTCACCTGTTGAGACCAGTTACAGTTTGTTCGTTATTGGATACGCCCCAGTTTTATAGAGCTGTTGATTATTGGACGTGTTCCTACTCCCGGAAGTTTGGCACAGGTCCCCACCCCCATTAAGTGTCAGGAAGACACACCTATTTGAATAGACTGATTCAGTTTGCCGTATAGTACAAAAGCACACACACAGGTACACGAGTGATTTGGGCGCTTTGACGCTCCAGTAGCGACGATTTGTCGTCGAATTCGTCTGGCTTTTTCGAAGTTTCAGAGGAGAAAGGGTACTATGTATTTGCGTTTCATCTGGATTGAAATTTCTTTCGGGATGGTGATTGGCTGTGAAGCATGTTGTACTTCTCCATAATCATTATTTTATTTGTGTACAAATCTGAGTTGTGAGTCAATCACAGCCGATTTCAAATTCCATCGCGTGTGGTGTTCACTCATTGACACACAGGTTTTCGGTGCACCGAATGCTGATTCTAGTCCGACGGATCCTTTCGGAGCAGATCCCTTTTCCTGTTTGGAGCAGGTTGCTACGGCGCAAACGGATACAACAGGGCAGAAAAAGTCCCCACCACCCAGACCCACTACCCAGCCTGGTGCCACCACAGGAAACAGAGAATCAAAGGTTGGTATTCCTTTCTTGTCAAGCAGATAGATTCCTATAACAACTTTCAAGTTCTATGGTGCTTTTTTTAATATTTTACCTTGAGCGATTGGTATTTCCAACATATAGGTGGTTGTTTTCCTCCGGAACGAACATTTTCAGGGTTGAAAAATTAGTCTTGAACTATGCCAGTTTCATCGCTTCACCCCCCTCCCATTTCGCGCAGTCGGCGTTATCCCGGCTGCTTTTTTGCACCATATGTTAGCTAAGCAATGAAAGAATAAAACAGGCAAACTGTTCACTTTTTTCCTGAAAAACGGGCAGCTTCATTTTCGATGGTACGGAGTGATTTCAGCACAAACTTTCTTTTTTTAACATACGATTCCAATGGAAGCAAATTTTCACATTCCAGCAAACAGAACACAGTATGTGGTTATCTCGCCGTTCTGTCATTGGAGCACTCAGACACCTAAAGACTTTTCCTTTCGAGCTTCGTCATGTTGATGGCATAGGGACTCTAGAACATGGTAAGCGTTATCTATCTGGCTTATCGCATATCTGAACTTAGTACCAGCCGGTCTCTCTGTGATGCAATCTGGGGACAAAGCATCACCACCCTTTGTATCAGCGCGTTTCCTTTAGCTTATTACCTTTTGGGATCAACTTGACCCTATGGTGTTTCGAGGTCTTCCTTTCACCATACCTGGACTGATGATACATAAATTAGGGTGTTAGGGGCAGCTAGATTAATGTCTGCTGTGCTTTAGTATATCTTCCTTGACCATTTTATCTAACGTTGCTTTTTTGGTTACTTCGTCGCCATCAATTTTTGAAAAAATGCCAAAAGCAACAAGGAAGCAGTTATTAATGAATATCTGTACAATATTCTCTAAGCTTATTAGTTCTCTGTTACGTATGCATTCGATCGTTAATGACTGTGGTTATAGTAAACCTTGATTTCTGTTCTTCGCCACTCTTTCGTTAGCCGAACGAATACCCGAAGACATCTGTGGCCAGTCTGCCAGACTTCAATTATTCGTCCCACAAATTGAAATCCACCTCTCCACCCCCCTTCCGCTCAATTGGAAATAATTCCTCGTCCACTTTACCGCACAAGTCCAGTCTTCTTTCCAGAGTCCGCAGCGGGAATAAATCGAAGAAGGACATGGATCTCGCTGTGTCCAAGTCTGCGCGTGCTGTGTCCAAAGGCAGTGGTCCGAAAACGGAGGATGGTTCTGGATGGGCACCTTCTGGACTTAGCGAAGCGGAACAACTTACTCTCGCCACACTAGAAAGTCAGCGCTTAGCTCAACTGGAAGAACGTGCCCGTCAGCAAGAACAAGCGGATCTTGAGCTTGCGATCAGATTGAGTCAAATGGATACTACCACTTCGTCGTGATTTCCTATTGATGGTGATATTTGCACATATACATAATCACGTTACTAGGACACGCCATTTAGCTTGTTTTCCCCAACATATTGATTGATTTTAATCTACCCGGACTTTGGCATTTCCCACCTCGACTGTGTATGAATCCTAATTATTCAGAACGGCCAATTTGTTCGCTTTTATCTTCAAATATCGTTTGTGTTGTTGCATTTTGACTTCAGTTCCCTCAAATCGCCACATCTAATCACGTCCTTGATTCAACAAATAAACTGCCCTTCCTTTTCTCAACCAGTCTGCTGTTATTCCAGACCGGGCGCTGAGCTCTTGTCTCATAATAATAACCTAGCTAAGGAAACTTGATACGCACCATCTGCATAGTGCCTATCGTTACTTTACTTGGGATCAGCGTTTGTGTGATGGACATAACTCCGGGTTGTCCGGTCCTACCGTTTACAGTTTTGTTGAAGGTATCCGAATCCGAAATTGTTCAGCTATAACACCCTTTCAGTGCCTAACTGCCATGCCACAGGAAGTACGAGACATAACTCCGGGTTGTCCGGTCCTACCGTTTACAGTTTTGTTGAAGGTATCCGAATCCGAAATTGTTCAGCTATAACACCCTTTCAGTGCCTAACTGCCATGCCACCAGAAGGAAGTACGAGCGCTGGGATAGTGCTAAACCTGCCCAAACCAAGGCAGGGGAAGTCGAGAGGCAGAGGTCGAGTTCGAACCACAGACCTTGAGGTCAGCAAATTCGCGCTCTAACCACTGAGCCATCAGAGAGCTTCGACAATATGAAGACAGCACAGGGAGTCGTTTTTAGTTTTTACACAAAAACGGGGTTGCGGTGATTCTCCGGTGGACGCCACCTTAAACGGCAAATGAGCGTATTTCGTACAACTTGGGTAGAATATAAGGTAGGTGTAAACCCGGAGATCTATCCCACCTAATGTCCAAGGGTTTCCGCCAATCTTACAGGTAGTGCCGTCTCAATGAAATTACGCCGACATTCGGAATATCGTTCCAACTGAATCGCGAACCGGCCCTTACACAATACATTTAGATGACGAAAATTATGGGCGGTGGGTTTGTGGACTCCAACGGTAGAGTCACACTAATTTGCAAAAATGTGTTCCTGCTAGTCATGGACTTTGTGTCGTTTTTTTGTAGCCCTTCAGCCCAGTCAATTGTTGTGGATGGGGCAGGGCTTTATTTTATTGCCTTAGCACCGTCTTTGTTACCTATTTTGTTGTTATGGTGAAACAACTAGAGGCATTACATTTTCCGACAAGCGCACGTATCGAGGCCCGTGGCCTGTAGTAAAACACGTATCTAACGGTCTATCAGCCCTAAGTTTTACCGCTTCTATCAATCGAAAATTTACTTTAAACTATCATAAGATGGTTATTGCACAACTCAGACAGTCTTTTCAATAACAAACGCTTCCTAAAGTGTACCAGAAGCATAGAGAACTGGTATAGATACGAAATTCCTCAGGAACGGTGTGTTACGTTGGACGGTTACGATGGACAATAACCTACTAGCCTCAGTGCAGTAAAGCTAGCAGAAACGAGTAGTGAAGTGTCCCAATATTTACTTCCCACCTTATTGATTAATCCTCATACTATCAAAGTTGTTTGAAGAACGAGTTACGAAAATAATGCTTTCTGTTTGAGGCTTGTGCTCTCATGGCTTTAAGCCCAACTTGCATCTTTATTGAAACTTCTGGTTGCGGTCGAATTTTCATGCAACGTTTTATGAATAGGATATGTAAGTTACCGTGTGCACTAGGCTCAGAGGCTTTACAGCCATCGCACAGCCATAACGGTCAGTATACCACCAGTCGAATCGTATGGCGGTCACTCGGAATGCACCCGTCACAATAACGGACGCCCTGTTTATGATACAGGGGTCAGGAACTTCGTGCAAGTTGGTTTCACTGTTTGCTGGTGTCTACAAATTACTTCTGTATTTACGGGCCCTATTCATCAACATTACAACTACCATGGATATTCTGGAGGCTTACAAGCATTGGGGTTCCCAGGAATCTTTCTTGGAATTGACTCTAAGAAATTTCTTTTTAAGGTTTGAAGGAAGGGTATTATGAGAGCTTTGTTCAGTTTCGCCAACGGTTGCCGTATTCTGTGGATCAAAATGTACCTCAAGCACATTTTGTACTCATCTCACTGGTCATCCAGTTTAGTTACTTTGTTATGAATCTGTGTGCCTAGGTACAACGGCCTGGGAAAGTCGTTCGGAGTCCTAATAATGCCAAATCTTCAGAAACATACAATTCAAACAAATTCGCGGGGGTTGCATCATGTTCCCGCCAGTTTTGAACTTTTCAGTCGCTGCTTTGGCTTCGCGCAGTTTTGGCATCTTGGTCACTACTCGACACTTTACACTAAAATAAACTCGTCAGCCGGTTTTTCGCTAAACTTGTAGGGGCACCGCGACTTAGGTTTCTGCATCTCTTCTTCATGTCTCTTGTCCAGCCACTCAAGATATTGTCTGTCACAGGTGTTACCTTGCTCACTTGAAGTCAAATGTGTCCCTCAACATCGAATTAGCCTGGCAGATCACTCAAGGTCCGTTGCCGTTCATGGATGGGCTCTTCTCTACTAAGGAACGATACATAACGGATAATAACTGCCTCCCCTCTATTGGGCTCGTTGGTGGGATCCTTGTCAGTAAAATCATATATGTCGGCAAAATAGAGGAGGAGCAAAAATTGCTACAATCATCTATAACGAGCAAGACCGAAAGTTCAAGGTGTTGTGAACGACTTATCGTTCATTTTCGATGACTCATATCTTCCTTTTGGGTGAAGGAATCCTCCCAGTGATAATGACTCATTGGTGGAACCAATGGAATGAAAGTACTGATGTAAATAAATACACCTTGTGACATCCTATAAGAAACTGCGCTATGGTTTTGTCATTCTGTTCAAAACGAAACGTTCATTCAACTGCAGATATCGGCGTCGTTGTTTGTAACGCTCCGTATCAAAGTTATGTTTAACCGTAAACAAAAGTTTGCTGAAGCACAGAAATTCAAATTCTTAAAGCTTTTAGCCATCAGCTGATGTCTGAAACCGCAAGAAGAAGTTTGTCTTCGGTGTGTATTCATGGAAATTTCAAACATTTTGGATTCATTTCACCAAACGTTCCTAACCCCTATTCATGTAGGCTGCATTATCGATCAACATGAGCATTTTGACTGTATTTCAGGTCAGCGTTTTATAGGCATCCTGTCTTCCCTTCCGGTGACTGTTCCATTTAGGCTCTAACCGAAGGCTTCTTATTTTTGGTCCACGTTGCCGAGCGCGACGTAAAACTAATGGGCGAATATGATGGCAACCAATTACTCAACCAATTACTTATCAGAAACCAGCTTCCAGAGAAATGAGTAGGAGTGCAGGTATTCGAGATAAAATCAATGAAAATGGAGTATAAATTAACACCGTCTGGATTCAGGGGATTGGTTATACCACAAAAGTAATTAGCATGTGGGTTGGACGTGATCTGCAGACAATGACGATTTTCATACAGTCAGAGGTATCGATTTTCTCAGCATTTATCCGTAGGACGACATCCTGCTACGTGCTCATTGTCTGGCATTTGATAAACCAACTCAGCTTCCTTCTTTGCTGACCGCACTAGCTCGGCAGAGTGAAAAACTCTTTATTTTATCTCTATCGATATAGGGAAGGATTTTTGACAGAATTCGTCACAGTAATGTTGTTTGGTGTTGAAAAAGATGAATCTGTTGTACTCAGAAATATTTTTTATTGTCTTCGGTAGACATTTTTTCCTAGTCATCCCTCATTCCGCTTCTTTCAGAAGGTTCACATTACTCTGCATCAGTGACAGGAATGATGGTGCGTCATCCCATTTCTAAGTAAAGGTACGGAAGCTTGTTCACTTGTATGGACCTCCGCACTCAAACAATCAGCGCCCGCAAACGTGTGCATAGAGATTCCGCTAACTCTGATCGCTGTAACTCACATTCAAGTTTCCATTATCTCTTCGTTTTCCTCGGACTCCTGTATCGTACGATTATCGTGTTGATTTTGAATCCATTTCGCAAACATGGATGCGACCAGGTACTTCCATCCTCGTTCGTATGAATCTTGCTTATACTCAACTATCGCTCTCCCACCGGAGGCCCCTGCCATTACCACTGTAGGCGACCGTTACTGTTAGTGTGTCGCTTTTTAAGCTAGGTCTTGTCCCCAGCTTTCAAGTTTCGTAGAAATTTGTATCTACAGGAAGATCCTTCCGCATGCCTGAAAGGCAGTCGCCAATTTCTTGCCTGTTCAGTCTTGTAGTCAGTCCTCCTATCACAATTACCGTATTTGTTGGTAAAGTGCACAAAAATATCCCAGAACTCCCCATGATTGCATCCGTTCTGTAATCGTGTCAAACGAAGCAAGAAATCTAAAGATAGTAGTCATCCGAGAGCAAGGTTCATCCAAAAAAGATGGTTAGATATTACAACAATGCTTCTTAATTTGCGTACTTTGAAACAGTTGGCGATTTCCGCCAAGCGCTCCGTTGGTGTCCTAAAGAGAAGCCGCTCCTATACCATGGGAAATCATGGTCATTTGACAAAAAAAGTATTCAAACGAAATTCTAGAGGAGGAGGAATAATTGTACTTAACGTAGGTAACAAAACGGCAGTCTGAAGAAATTGACAGCGAAAGACCACCTTCCCTCTCAGCGAAACGTTAACAGACCGAACAGAGTCAGCACCATCTTAAGGTCTACAATCGTAATGTAGGACAGGGATTCACCTGTGTAGACGATTTTTAACCACATTAGTTAAGTGTGCTGACAAAAGTAAACTCCACGGGTGTGCATCAGAAGTCTTTTTTGGCAGTGGCATATCAGGTGAGGCCCGGATTGTCTCTGACCAGTGCATACCAGAGTAGACAAAATTAACTTATATCTTTGAATGTTTATGAAACCGTCCAATAAACCAATTGTTAGTTGAGAAATCGTTCTACCATGTTATCAATCAAGACAAAGTCGCAACTCTTGGAAAAAGGCAGAAATGAACTGGAGCCAATGTCTCCAGCACCCGTAGAGCAAACTCCGAAGGGACTATCTATGACCCCACGAGGTTTCTTCTTCTGAGATATCATCACCTCCAAGAACGATTTATTTTTCAAGCTCCAGGCTATATATATATATATATATATATATACCATAGACGCGGGATCCACCTTCCATCGCTGCATGAGTAGGGATATTTTGCCGAGGTTCCGA